CAACGTTCCTAACTCTAGTTACTACCCTCGTTCTCTCGTTCTCTCGACTCTCGATTCCCACGACATCCCAACCATGATCAACCATGACCACATCTCCACATCACCATCGACCACCACTTCACCACCATTTCGGTTAGCTCGTCCAGTGGCAATGTGGGAAATGCGAATGGAGGCGGCGGTGCCGTAACCATCTACACCACCACCACCAATGAGGGCGTGGCCGGCGGCGGCGGAGGCGGCGGTGGCGGCGGCGGCATTAGCGGCAACATATCCGGCGGCGGACCGCTCCAGGAGATCATCGTGAATCCCTCGTCGATGGTCGGCTGGCGGCTGAGCGCCAACGGGTCGTTGATCCCGCCCCACGATCTGCTCACCGGCGGATTGCCGAACGCAGCCACGCAGAAGCGCGGCTCGGAGCGATTGTTTCAGTACCTCGAGGCCGAGGGCAGCGATCCGGAGGACTATGCGCGGTATTTGCATAACCAACATGCCCCAGTTCCTTTGCCTTTTCGTTGGTTTTCGTTTTTGGTTTCCCTTTTTGCTAATTTAATACATGATTTATCATCATTATATTTTACATGCAAATGTTGGTTATTGTCAATCTGAATTTTTATTCTGATCGCTTGTGTTCTTCCCTACACCCATTTTAATTGTTTAAAAGTTCCTTTTTTCAATTATTAACTTTTATTTTTAAATTGTTATAAAATAACTCGTTTGACTGCCCTTTTGTTAATAAAAAGGTTAACCTATCGTTGTGCTTTGTAAGTTCTTTCCAATAATTTTAAATTTCCTCACCGCTTGTTTCATTGTTTTCACTTTATGTTTATTTTGTGAATTTGGTTTCAGATTACACTGTTTGTTAGAAAATATTCTCGCATTTTTCTTAGCAGTGTTTCGATTTATATATTTGTATATATTGGCCTAAAATTGTTTTCTCATTTTGCACTGTTTTGCAATATTTATTGGTTTTTACCCAATTGTTCCCCTGTTTTCACCTTCAATTGCTGTTTATTTGCCACTTGATTTCTTGTCCTTTGTTTAATCACCAATCAATCACAATCAATTCTTAAATAATCTAACCCCTTTCCATTTGCCTATCCTTGCAGTCTGCTGAAAATGGACGCCATTAGTCGCAACACCGCTTCGGTCGCTCAGGATTTTCATAAGGCGGGAGGCGTGCACGAGTTGAAAATACCAGCCAATCATCAACTCCTGTTTAACAATAAACTGCCTTCGCAATGGACGACACGAGAGGCTGCTGCACTGCTGTACAGCCTGAGCAACATGGGCGGCGGTCCGTTTCCGGTTCCCAGCGCCAGAAGTTCGGCATGCGGGCGCGACAACATTCCACCGGCGAGGATGACGAGAATACACCATCGTCCGCCTCCTCGTCGAGCTTCTCCGGCGATGAGTTCAACATGAGCGCCACATCGCCCCTGAAGCTGTCGCGTCATGCCGTCAAGCTGGAGAAGATGGAGGAGATGGAGGCCAAGGACATGCCCACCAAGGCGATGATGGCAACGGCATTTCTAGAGGCGGCCAACTACGAGCAGACGGCCATCGAGCTGCTGGCCAGCAAACGGAAGATCAAGGTCGAGGACGACGAGAACGACGAGGACCAAGAGAACCAGCAGCAGCATCAGCCACATCAGCAGCAGCAGCGATTGCAGCTTATTAAATCGTCTCCCGCGTACAAATTGAACAACAACAATAGCAACAGCAATAACAACAACAACAACAACTACTACAAGGACAAGTCATCGCACAGAAATGCCGTTCACCATCATCGCCAGGATGATAAGGAGAACAACAAGACCAAGTCGCCAGGATCAGCAGCAGCAGCGAGTGTTGCAGCTGCAGCAGCAACATCGCCTCCCAGCGGCAGCGGCAACAACAGCCAGACACCGTTTCTCACCCAAATGGAGTACCAGAATCTCAATCGCATTGGCACCCAGTTTCAGAACTACGTCAAGGACATTATCAACAAGTACTACGCGGCGGAGACACCTCTGATGCTGGCCGCTGCAGCAGCAGCCTTGCCCACGGCCACGACTACGGGTCAGCAGCAGCAGCAGCAACATCCGGAACTGGATATCGAGAATATGTCGCCCAGCAAGCGGCGTCGTCTGCTCAGCGAAACGGAGGAGTACATCGAGTATCTGCGCAACAAGGAGGATATTACGCTGACCATTGCTCCTAAGGTCCAGGGCCCACCGCCAGTGACGTCTCTGCTCAAGCGCCAGTTGGATCTCAGCACGCCGCGTCGCAGTCCCAAGAAGGCGGCTCCGGCGCACAGCAACAGCGCCTCGAATGCCGCCCGAAAGTCGCTCAACCAGCTGGCCACCCTGCTGCCACTGCTGGCGGATGCGGCCAGCCAGCAGGAGTATCTGGCTGCACCGCTGGACTTCAGCAAGAAGTCCAGCTCGCGCAAGCAGGCCCAGCCCAAGAAGATCCGTCTGACGCCCGAGGCGGTGGTCACATTGCTGAGGGACAAGTATCTCAATCGGATGGTGCGTCAGCGCTTGGGCTGCCTCAAGTGCAACCAGTCGCGAAAGAACAGCTCCATCAGCTTCAACTATCACACGCTGGGATCGCTGGCCCTCCACAAGTACTGGCGACATGGCCAGGAGGGAGCCTCCTCCTCAACGGGGCGACAAAAGCTGCAGGCAGCTCTGCAGAAGAGGATTCGCCGGGGACAGGCGGACAACAAATGCTAATGTGGCCGTGTTGTTTCGGTTCCATTTTTATTCGCTTAAGATTAGAAAATGTTTGCTTGCCATATATGGAATGCATTAGGCATTTGACATTGAAAATCATTTAAAAAATTGCATTTAATTTTTTAAATTTTAAGTTGTGATGTACCTGAAATATGATTTCTCTTAAACAAACAAAAAATACTTAAAAACAAACAAACACAATTCATGCGAACGGTCTCGAAAGCGCTTTTGCAGCCCAGCCGACTGCAAATGAATTTCATTATCTTAGTTGTACAAGTGAGCGCCATCTCACAAACACACCCCACTCACAATTAACATTTACATACGAATATTTAACTATTTAGTAATTTACCTGGAATGAGCATTTATCAAATGTGTCCCAGACCCTGATTTCCTCCATTTGTATTTGTATTCGATTGAATGAAATGTGAAGTAAAAGCTTTAATTTGCCATTTACAAAGCTTCAGTTTAGTTACGAGTAATGATTGCCATCTTTTTACACCTAGCATTTAGTCGTCTAGTTACCTTAGTTTTCGGATTAATTTATGAACTGCAAACGCGAACCTCATCGAACCCTTTGCCTTACTTATCATTTAAGCTTTAACGTGAATATAAATTTAGTTTTAGTTGATTTAGTTACTCTTCGGAGCAGCAGTCACGCCCACAATGCCCACGAAAACAAAATCCATTCTTACGCGAAACGTTTTAAATATGGAAAAACAAACGTCTATAAATATTAACAAAACAACTATATTACTGTACGTGTAGATGTATTCATGATTTTATCAGAAGGAAAAGGAATAGGAAGTCGGCGAGAAGGAAACACAAGAACAACTTACAAAATACTCAAAGAACATGGCTAGAATACAACTTCTTACCACACTGAACAAGAAATATTTGACTGAAAAGTGTCGGGGGAAGATATGGTATATATGAATAAAGGTATAAACAATTTTAGTGTAAAATGTGTGTTTTTGCTAAATGTGGTAAACTAAAAAAAACCGTAAATTTATTACACAAAACTAAACTAAAGCGTAAACGAAGAGAAAATTCTTAAGTAAAGTAAATTTTTGGATGACAAGCCATTTAGACAAAATTTTTGAGACGAAAAAAGACATTTATAAGAAAGGAAACAAAAAAGAACAAACCGAATTACTTTAAATTTTATTTAAGCAATGAAATTTGCAAAAAATAAAAGCTATAATTACAATAACTGTAATGTGAGTGTTTTTAGTTTAAAATTATATATTTCCAAAACATTCAAAATAAAATATAATTAGTTTAAAATATAAAACCAAGTTTTTTAATTAATTTTCTTTGGGTTGGGATCACTTGTTTTAAGCTGTTAAACTGAAATGTGGAAAAGGTTTTAAAAAGTATACATTTTCAAAAATTTGACAATGTGCGAATTTTTTAACGGCAAGAATTTTACCTTACTTTTAACATTATGAAAGACATCATTTTTGAGTTATAAAAGGACTTTTATTGATAAGCCTTATGGAGTTACAAACTAGTTCCTTAAAAATATTGTTTAGACGGGTGTCGATTACTTTTCAGGGTTTTTAACGGGCATCGAAGACAACAACTGCAAATAAAACGGAAGATTTCATCAGTACAGTTTGAGAGTCATTGGAGGCTTCTGGGGGCAGAAGGAAAGGATTACTTACGACGCTTGGTGCGCTTCTTGTACATGATACGATATCCGCACTCGCGACAACGGATTGGATCCCTGGGCCGCATCTCATTTTCGTGATGGCACTCTAAAAGATAGTAGTAATATATTAATTAAACCTTATTCCAAAACGATTATGTTGCTATTCCGGCAAACCATGTGCCCGCTGAGAAAATGCGTTTTTCTATTGAAGGATATTATCCACCAACTTACCACCGCAAATATACGTCATTGCCGTCTTGACATTGTCCTTGGAGCTAGTTTCCGACATTATTAGTCGATATTATTTAAATAAAACCAAGTTTTCTGTAAAAATGTGTTGTTTTGGAAAACGAATTCTTCTTCTTCGATTTCAGAGGCGTTATTGGTCGAAACCTATCGATACACGATTTTTAAAGTGACAGTGATAAACAAAAAATACTAGTTGACTGTTTTGGTATATATCTGCAGTTTTATTTTTACCCGCGTATTTTGAAATCAAGCTAGGATAGATAATTGATTAATTAGAAATGAAATATAAATTATATATTTAACGATATTTTATTGTCAGGTCTTTAAAAGTGCATACCCAAAAAAGGATTTACACGCAGTTACTATGAACTTGCAAAATATATAATATTAGCACTTTCTCCGATCCTTTTTTTTGTACAAAATCAAGTTACGCTTATGTTTAGTAGACTTATAATGCCGTTGCATATTTCCCACAATTGAATTTCCACAGGGTTCGCAAAAAGTAAATTTTTCTGGTTTCTGAAATCTGCAAGCGGTTTTCGATCTGAGCTGTCTATCTTCGGAATTCTCGTTTCTAGATGCCCCATCTTTGTATATTGCAGTACATTCTGAATTTGTTTCCATATCTTGCATATCTGTTGTAGATTGCATTGTTATATTTATATGATTATCGCTTTGAGTGCTTTCCTCACATTTTTCGTGATCTTTTCCTAATTTTAACGAATTATCCTTATGGCTTTGAGATTTCAAGTGTCTCAGGTAATTGCCCTTGGATTTAATGGTAAGATCACAAACTTCGCATTTAATTGTCTGCTTCAAAAGATGCACTGATTTTCGATGGGTTTGCATGGTGCCTTGACTGTAGAAATTCGCTCCGCAGATTTCACAGGTGAAATTTCTCCTGTTTAAATGCTTCTTGTTCAAGTGCTCCGTGAGGAAAAATTTATTTGCAAAGTCTTTTTCACAGATTTCGCATTTTGGTTTGGGCTTTTTCTTGCAGCCACCTCTCGGTGGTCCCCTCAAAAGTCTTTGTTTTTCCCGGTGTTTTTTGACGGCTTCTCTGCATTCCTTGGCGGTGTGAGCTGGGCAACATCGACTCAAGGTGGGAAGTTGGCAAATCAGACACAGATTTTTTCGTGTATGTATTTGAATTATATGCGTTTTAAGGGTAGACCACAATTGGAATCTCCGCGGACAATTTCGACACTTGAAAGGACGATAAAGTAGATTACTGGAAGTTCTAACTCTGCTCTGATGCTTACGCAAGAATTTACGGGTGAGAAAGGTCCTGAAACAGTAGGAGCAGGGAAAAAGCTTAGGTTTTAACCGATGCCTTCTATGCTTAACCATATGCAGCTGATGGCTAAAGGAGAAGCTATATTTCTGATCGCAAAGCGGACACTTGGTGTGCACAGAAGTCTTTCGTTTCTGAACAGGAAGTGTTCTTTCCTTCCTAAAGTAGCATTCTATGTTTTTTGGTACCTGCACCACTATATCCTCAACTGTGTCAGCTGATATTTGCAATTCTTCTCGTTCCCTTGACTTCTGTTTCTCCAGTAACCTTTTGTATCTCTCGTTTTCATAAAGATCTTCAGGATTGGAAGTTATTCCTGTTTTCCTGCTTAAATGAGAGGTTAGTGAGTGCTGCAAGTAAAAGCGTCTATAGCAAATCTGACAGTGAAAGTTGTCCGAATAGCGATGAATCCTTTGGTGATCCTCCACATCCTGCAGCTTTTTCCACGGAAGATGCTCACATTTATGGCAAACGCAACGAAATCCTGGTAAGATTATAGCTGCAAATTTTGGGCGTAGCGCTCCCTGGGCTTCTTGACCTGTCAATTGGCTAACTGCTCGTCTATAGCCAGTGGTCACTGTATCCAGAATATCCCCAAGAGTTTCCAACTGAACTTTTCGGTTTCTGTCTTTAAAAGCATCCAAAATAGCTTGATAATCCTCCTGTAAATCGGCTTTAAAATATTGATTGCTCCAGAAATTATCCCGTAACTGCGCTGCCTGCAGTAAAAGCAACATATCTGAGCTACGAAAGCGCATAATTTTCTGGATATCGTCTCCTTCGGAAAACTGATTGGGAAATTCCGAGCCCAATACGTTTTCCCCATTGAATGCCACGTATTTCTCCGCGAATCCTCGACAGCATTTGCACTTGCAGTTGCAGAAACCGGCGCATCCTTCGGTTTTCTTGTCAATTTGTAGAGCTGGCAAGTCGGCGGTAAAGTCCTTGTAGGTAGTTAAGAGTTTTCCCGGCCAAGACATGAATTTATTGTTTTGTTTACAAAATAAAAAAATCGACAAGTGGTTGTAGGACCAGTCACTGATGCTATAAAGAAACCAAAAAATACTAGATTGCCAATAAAAGTTATCGAAAAAGTGTCATCCTTTGTTTTTGGAACAAGGGCTGCCAGACTGCTGCACTAAACAGCTGTTCGAAATTCGGCGGCATTTAATTTTATAAAGAATTGTAATTGTTTTTAACAAAATCATGGGAAAAACTAAAGGAAACGCCAAAAAATTTGGCATGCATCCGCGCAATGTATTACGCCAGCCGCCTGACTATACCAAATTGGCAATTAAATACAAGGATTTTCGCAAAGAGTGCGAATTGGTGAGTGCGGAATCTTAAGACAGCTAAAAAATCTTAATTTACTTTACGATTTTTATTAAATCAGGAACTCAATGGCAAAGTCTCTGTGAATTTTCGCAATGAAAAGACCTTGCGCGAATTGACCAAAATGCTTTTAAAAGAATACTACGATTTGGATGTGGATTTTGCCCCTGGAAGTTTGGTGCCCACTTTGGCCCTGCGCTTGAATTACATCTTATGGCTCGAGGATCTAATGGAACCCCTGAAATTGCAGGACATAAGGGGTATAGACATAGGTAAGACAGGTTAAGATCTGTTAAAAAGATTTACTTATAGAACTCCATACAGGTTGCGGTTCCTCGTGCATTTATTCCTTGCTGGGAGCCAAGAAAAATGGCTGGCACATGTTGGCGCTGGAATCGAAACCCCAAAACATAGAATACGCCAGGGAGAATGTGAAGAAAAACCAGTTGGAAAACCTCATTGAAGTCTATGCCCAACCAGATAAAATGAGCATATTCAAAAGCTACTTTCAGAAGGATCAGCAAGAGCTGCAGTACCACTTCTGTCTGTGTAATCCACCTTTCTTCGATTCCAACTTGCCAAATCCCTTCGGCGGTAATACCAGGAATCCCGAAAGACGTCCCGCACCGAATAATGCCAGAACTGGAAGCCAGGAGGAACTCACCTGCGAGGGTGGCGAGGTGCAATTTGTGCAACGCATCATAGACGAGAGTCTGGAAAACAAGATGCGCGTGCGGTGAGTCAATCTTGATTACCGCCTGAAATTGAATTAACTTTGGTTTTCCTCGCTGCGCCAGAATCTTCACTACAATGTTGGGCGTCAAGGCCAATGTGCCAAGGATACTGGACTACCTTAAGGAGCGGCAGGTGGCGAGTGTCAGCACCACGGAATTCCATCAGGGACACACCACTCGCTGGGCGGTGGCCTGGAGCTTCCATTCAGAGCCGCTAAGCCAGGAGACAGTGTGTAATTGAGTTACACCTTAGACTTTATGGGGTAACTTTAAGCTGGTTGCAGGTGTGTTGAAGCACAGGTTTTTGTTTTCAGTAGAATTCGTTTAAGTTTCGCGCTTTCATTAAGAAGCTTTCGTAATAACTAACAAAAGAGTGACATAGACAAATCTAGTTCTTAAACACTACAAGAATCAATAAGAACATCTCAATTTTACGTTATTGTAAATTGTTTATTTTATTTTTTTAAACGGAATAATTTACAATAATCAAAACATTGCGTTTAAGCGGAATATAAATTAATTCATATATATTAACCAGTTATTCAGAAAGTGTTGTCTTTCCATTACTGTCTTCATAATATAAATAGAGTTGAGCTACAGGAAGCTGCACAAGCAATTGAACTCTGACCTTCCAGTGCGACTCCGTTCCGTGCTGTCAGAAAGCTTTTGCCCTAAATGGAAATTTGCATGTCAATGGTCACTTTGCCGCCCAGGTCCACGAACGGAAATTATCGTTTCGGTTTTATCATTGACCACAGCTGACCACACACTTCGACAGAAAAAGGCAAACAGAATCAGAAAGGCAACCGAAATGGAGGCAAACACGCGCACTAAGCACAAGTCAGCACACCGGCATTTCCACACCTTTGAGCCGGGGAATTCGGGCGATTCGCTCGTCCGCCATGTGGGATAGCAAATAGCTACTTTTAATTGCTGCCCACGAATGTCCTGGTTTTTCGCGAGGTCTCGCCATGAAAATTCCCATGAATAGACACAGGAAAATTCAAATTAATTGAAGTGGTATCCTCATTTTTTGTTGTTTGGCTTAAATTTGAAAATTACATTAAGTATAGGGAAATAAATATAATGGTAGAAATAATACATTAACATAAAAATAATAATATGCTTATAAATATTTTGTTTCTTTAAAATAAAATACTTCTTGTATTTTTATAACAAAATCCTAATCGAGATCAAAGAAGGTTTCTTTCGGATTTTTTTCATGAAACTTCTGTAAATTCTTTAAAGGATATCCCGACTCTTAACCCCCGTCGACCACTATGCTCCACTTTTCTTTTGCCTTTTGAGCCATTTCACGACTTGGCTGTTGCTGCCCTTTGTTGGCTTGGTTGCTTTTGTTGTCTTTTATGGCATTTCAACACGTTAAGGTGTAAAGAACAACGTAATTAAAATGCAAGCCGTTGGTTTTTAAGCCCGGAAAGATGGGTGCCCGGCTGCGTCATGCGTTTAGGTGCGGTCTGGTGTGCTTTCTGTTTTCCGTTCATGTTGTGGATTTTGTAGCCACCCGCGCTCCGAAATTAGAAACAAGAGTCAGTGGCGGGCTGCCCTCTCCACTGATTTCGGCTGGGGCCCTAGTTGCCGAGGGACCGTTCTCTAATTTTCCAGCTATTATCTTAATTTTAGGCACCCAAGGCCCCAAGGTAACCCACAGAATTCGACACGTGTTCCTGGGCTTGTCCTGATGTGGTAATTGTTAATTAAAAACGCTTTTTGGCCACGTAGAGAGTGTGTTAAAGGTGCCCCATTAAAGTCATAAAAACCGATACATTCGAGCCGCAGGGTTCGACTCTTTTATTGGACGTCGTTAAATGGTTTAGAAAACATGTTTATGTGGAACCATAACTACAAATATAATGCTTGTCCATGGAATTGAGTTTGTAATACATTTTTAATGATCCCATCGAAGGATTGCTGTGGGGGAAGATAAGTAATTGCTTTGTTTATACACTGCAAAAAGAAAATAAAACGTTTGGTTTCTGATTAAGAAAATCATTTAATTTTGGCTGGAAAATAAATTTTTCATAAATGTACTGACGGAAAATGGATCTTTTTAAATGGTTAGTTTACAAAGGTGTGCATAAAATAAAGCTAGAATACATAATTCATAAAAATTGGATGGTATAATATTGTTGTTTAATAAATAAATATTTTTGTAATTCTTAAAAACGCTATTCTTCGTGCAGAGAGTTTAAAAGGAGTCCTGACATAAGAAGAGATGTTTATTCCATTATTAACCCATTAATGTGGGGGCTAGTTATGCCGCAAAATGGACACGTGTTCGCTAGTTTCCTGTGGGACCTGAAATCTTTGTCAACTTTGTAAAATTCGTACATCAATCAATTGGCCAAAAATCATCCATCAAGCAATCTGAGCGGTGGCTAACCGAAAAGGCAGGAAGCGCGTGTGCCCAAAAAAGTAGGCAATGACCCAACACAAAAAGTCGAACTTAAATCGGAAAGAGTAGGTCTTTAAGAGGGGGTTCGATCGGGGAACTCCGGTTGGAAGTTGGGAGCGAATGGGGGGCCTTTCGTGATGGCACGTAACGAGCTGCCAGACGGCGGCGTCTGTTGCAATTGGCAGCGGGCCGGTCCCGTTTCCCTCTTCTAAATACACGGCTATTGTCGTGTCGCATATGCATGCAGATACATTCACTTAATGCAATGAAAAGCAACCAAAAAGGAACGAATCAAAGGGGATACCAACAGACAATGCAAATGCTCCTATGCGCGTGAGATGGGTTCAGGGGCTGACATAAGGGGGTTATGTCCTCTATAAAAACTAATTCTGTATCTAGTAATATAATAATGATACGGTAAGAAAATATATAAAAAAAAGTTGTTTTGATTATAGGACTTAACAATTGTTGTTAGAGTAATATTTTTTCACCAATGTGGATATAATATTATTAGCAGTAAGCTATTATTTCGGGACGAAAGTATATTTATAAAATCATTAAAAATCAAAAACGAATACCTCCGCTCCGAAACCTCTTCAATTTTATTTCGTTCCAGCCTTTTAATATATACTAATTAATTAATTGGAATATAATTAAATGGGCCTTTTTACCTCGAAATCCCCATCCCTTTACAAACTCTCTCGCACGCCTCTGAGTGAGTGTGTGTCTGCGGTCGATGTCAGTCTGTGTGGGTGCTTCAGTTTTTGTGGCGTGTGTGTCATTCATGTAACCTTTCAATAAACATGCCCGTGTGGGTGAGCGGGCGGTGGGTGGTGGAAGGGGAGTTCACAGGGTAGGTAGGCGTGGCAGGCGGTGCATGCATGCAGCAGGGAGTCGTGTAATTGAACTGCTTATATGTACGGGTCCAGTTGAGTGTGCGGAGCGAACTCTTGAATGTGATTTTAAAGTCAACGTCGAGCACTCCTGACATCCGAACTGTCATTTTTTGGTTTGCCGCTTGTCTGCCAGACAAACCGATCCGATCCGATCCGCCGTGCCCTTGGCCATCTATTGTCTGCTCATATTCCCGGTTAATATTGGCTTGGCACTTGGCCAAGAGCTGGGTTATCGGATATGAATGCTGCTAGCCATGCAATGAGTGTGGCTCCTTTAAAGTTGTTGTGACATTCTGCAAGTAAAACCCCTATTATTTCCAATAATAAATGCAAAGTCGAAAGAAATCCACATATGACAGTAACGATACATTTTTAAATCCGACAACAAATAGTGCCTTTCTTAAGCAGACGCTTGAATTTTTTCTGGATTGTAAAAGGCATTTTTATAAACACCATTTAGCAGTGTGTGTTTTTTTTGCCTAGCTTTAGCATGTTTCATCATTAATAACAAGTAATTAATTAAATCACACGTACGGTAGATATTTCATTTCAACGCCTTTTCAACGTTGCGTATGATTAATTGGCGTTGTCACGGGAACAGCAAGGAATATCCTTACATATATCATTTCGGTCCTAATTCAATTACCGCTAGCGACTTTCCCTGTTGCCACAAATCAACGCGGCAGATGAAGTCGGCCGGCAAATGAAGGTGACAAAAGACACGCTTCTATCGGCGACATGACATCAGATATTCAGATATGAGGGACGTGAGATAAAGGACGCGGTCAAGGTGAAAAAGTCGAATAAATAATGAGACAGGAATGTGAATAAATTGCTTTGCAAAAAAGTGTCGGCTAGGAAAATAATAACCAACAAAAGAGTGGAAGCGGAGGAGTTAAGCCGCGGAAACGGAATACAGATAAATTACTCGCTAAGTTTCCGCTCTTTTCAAGTACTTTTGAGAATCGGATTCTGCGTCTGCAAAAGCCTAAAGTCTAATATCTCAAGAGCACATAGAGAATTTCGCTTTAAATTTATTTGTTCGCTGTCAGTTTTTCTAGTAGACCTGAAAATTGTTGCGCACCGTTGAACTTCAGACTTGAAAAAGACGCAAAAAAGGACGCGAAAAACTTTCCATTTGGCAGAAGTCCCGGGAGGGAGGCTCACCAGAAAAAAAAGGAGAAAAATAAATAAATAAAATAGACCCGAAGTAAGGAGGCGGCAAATGAGCTGGGAGGAGGCGGAACAAAGAGCAAAGGGCAAGCCAGAGTTCGCAGCCACGCGGCGTATACGTATTTTGCCTGTTTCTTATGCCCATTCACAAAGGAACAAGAAAAACACAAGAAAAATCGAAAAGCCAAACATTTTTATCCGAAAAACAAAGCTATTTATATCTTTTGGGCAACATAATGACCTGGCATTTCTGCTGGCAAATGATGCGCAAAGTTTTCGGGCCTAAGACTCTCGGGCTCTCGAGTATAGAGCCCCGCGTTGTCAGTCATTTTATCAGCCCCCGAAAGGGTTTATGTGTCGCCGGCGCGTTTCTGCCATCATGAAGTAGCAGTCGAGTGCCAAGGGACTTTGGAATTCTCGCCCATGAATTTCGCCACCCGGCTGGGGGCTCTTCTGTTTGCCCCGACATTTTTGGGGTGTGCGAATTCACGCTTTCAAGGATGTTTTTCCATCAGTTTTGGAGCAGCGACAATTTTTGGCACTTGTTTGCCAGAGTGCAACTGCCGAAAAGGAGGCGAGACGGTCGCAGTTGTATGCTGGTCCTTCGCACTTAATTGTTGGCCTTTTTGGCATCCTTCCGGCTAAAGAATTTACCAAACTTTAAAGGAATTGTGGCAAATTTAATTATTTTAAAACGGCAATACTGTTTTTTTTCCAATTTTTGGTCGCTTTTTTATCCAATCAATATTTATTTTTCGTTGTCCTTTTGGTAAATTTATTTTATATATGAATGGAAATTTAGCGGGAATTCACAAAAGCCTTGTTGGAATTTATGTCCATTTTAATTCAATTAATTTGTACAAATTGATTTTACTGTCA